AAGTTAGAAAGGTTTTTCTATTTTAGACAACCCCTGTGTACCAAATGAGGCTTAAAGGCAAAAAGTAATAAATATCTCTTTCCTCATCTCCGGGCCAAATTTTTCTCCTCACTGCCACTTTGGCATGAGGTCTTCTGTTACATTTTTGCTATTACACCTCTGTATACACTCTTTTTAATTGACTAGGAGGGATTCACCGCGCGATGCGCGGTGGATAAATGCCCAATTATATTCACTAATTTTACAAATTATTATAAATGTGAATGACAGACAAAATATTCAAAGTTGTGTTCTTAAAAAGTATATAATTAGTTTAAAATTATTAAAAATATAAAGTTCAAAAGATGAAAATTATAATACAATACCTTTAAAAGATACAATAGAGCATGAGAAAGACATGATAAGGACATATACTATTGGCCATTGACCCAACATACAAATTATATTTTGGTATCCTCAATATTTACAAATGAAATCTCATACTTAAAAGCAACTATATTAACATATTTGCATTACTCGATATAATTCCAAACTGATTCTTAAGATATTCTTGTCTTTTGAGTTTTGAGGAAAGCAACCTCAAAACTTCTATACACTTTTGCGGCCAGAGTAATTTTACAACATTATGGGATAAGGCCAATCAAAAGGAAAAAAAAAAATCCTGCAAGAAGCACCAAAGATATATATCATAAAGGAACATTTTTATTTATTTATTTTTTTTGATACATTGGAAGAGATCATAACCTCTTAAATAGAAACAAAATAATGATATACAACTCCTAACACATCCATTTCTAACAAATCTCGCATCTCTCGGGAACTTATAACCCAGATGGATCATATGCTGCATTTAGCCAACCAAACTACACATTGATTGCGCTCCTGCCAAATATGGCTCAGCTAGCAGTCCCAACTTCTTTGCTTCAACTCTCGAATGTGAATATAACCACAATTTACAAAAATCACAAAAAACATATAACCACAATTTATCCCCTCTGTCCACTCCGACTAAAGGTACTATAACTACAATTTTCCTCTTCTACAAGAAACATAAATTAATAAACCTAATACGAAACAATAGCAATTAAAAAGCTGTAAATATAGCAAGTAGGACAAATATGCTAGGGACCAGAATCATTTTCTTGGACTCAGGATCTATTGAAACTAAGACAAATATAGCAAAGGCCATCCTCATTTCACCAGATTCTATAACAACCAATCTAACAAATTTCACATTTTCTTTTCTGCTTTGCTCCAAATGTTTACTTTGCAACCCCACAAACACAAAATCATTTTTTTTTCTATTTTTTTCACTTGAGGAAAAAGGCTTTAGAGAAAACAGCAGATTGAAAAATAACAGATAGAAACATTAAGTAAACAAATAAACAGAATAAAGAAAATACAAGGAAAAAAAATAGTTAAGCAAAGCAAACAAAAGCAAGAATTACAAGAGATGAGGGAAAACCACGAAAGAGAATGAAAGCAAAGTTCCAATTTTTGGACTTGCAATATCACAAAAAATAAACAGATTAGATAGGCCAAAAATATCTTTGAGAGGAAAAAATCATAAAAGAACTTTCTCAAATTTATTAAATGCATTTTGGAAAAAAAATTAAGATTCCAATATGGCAAATATCCCAAAAAAATTAGGCCCAAGATGGAAACAGAAAGCTCAATTTGTATTCTATAAAATGATAACCAAATAGAATGCACGTTATTAAAGGGAAAAATTTTATAGAACCTGATGCTGGAAGAAATTTCCAATTTTTTGCACCTGCAACATATGTATACAAATTAATACACAAAAATTAGACTACTAAACCCCACAAAAAAACCAAAAGGCTAGAGAAGTACTGAGAAAGAAGAAGAAATTACAATGCAAAAAATCATGCGTCGCACACAACATCCGTTCACAGCCATTTTATATGACTCGATTAGGTTGAAAATCCATGTTTTTCTTTTAGTCTGCTTATTTTTCTTCTCATCTTCTACTTTTGATCGGGAGAAAGATTTGAAGAAACCAACAATAAAAAAAAGCATAGCAAACTTTACCATGATAGCTATATTATTAACCTTCCACATCATTGTTTTGCTATTTTAACTTCGTTATCTTTTGTTCTAACCCCCAAGTAACTTTTTATTACTGATTTTTTTTCTTCAACAACTGTGATAGCAAAAGCTGACCAAACTTCTCAATCAAGTGTTAGAACATGCTTGAACACAATCACAGGCATAGAAGTAGAAGATAAAGACAACTAAATCACTTAGCTTTCCCCTTCATTCTTTGCTAATTCTCCCCCTTTAGTTAGAAAATTACACAAAGAACTTGCATGCATAACCAATAATAAAACAAAATGTTTCCATAGTTTACGATCAATGCCAAAGTAATGCAATAGTAGTTTCATTAGAAATGATTTGACCTTTTTTATTTGACAAAAATTTAAAGACTCTAATTCTTTGCGAGCCTTAGCCCATTTTATTCTTTGCGAGCCTTAGCCCATTTTATTCTTAAGCACATTTATTTTGTTATCGCTATGTCACCTTAAGTTGAATCACAATTTTCATTCTCAAGGTGAATTGTGAAAAATCTTTTGCCAATTAAAAGAAAGTCACCACCAGAAAAATAACAATACCTAACCATCTAAAGTGCAAATGAGTGAAACTCTTTTATTACCAGAAGTACTAAAAGCATATTTAAGAAAATAATAGAAGACAAAACGCTTAAATCCAAACAACACTTCTGCCTTATAGAAAGGGAAAATTCAACCATTCATTTCACAAGCACAAAATGAGACTTATCATTAATTTTTTGAAGTCAAGCATATCCCATGAAATTATCATCAAAGTCAGGCCCCTCTAGGCTGTAAACAATTCCAGTTAACAACTTACATATTGAAAGGTAAACCTATCAAGGACAAAAAATCTCACTTCTAGTTTTTAAAAAGGAGTTAAAGATTAAAAAAAATAAAGCAAGATTTGCCCCAGTGGAATAAACCACTGACTATTAGCAAGCATCAAATGCAAAGCATTATTTATTGTCTTCATTCAAATGAATTCATTGAAATTAACAGACATGCAACTTGGCAAACTAAAATCGAACACCCAATTATTAGCAAATACATGAATGTCAATGGTTTTAATAATCCGTGCACAAGTTGAGACTTGAAAATTTAGAAGAAGTAGAGTCCTATTTCATATCACTTAGACCATATTTAACATAATACCAAAAGCATATAATTAAATACAAATTCCTGATAATACATTGTTGCAGTGGACAAACAAAACACATACATGTTGTAAAAGGCCCCCAATTTCTTGATAACTATTAAAGAACAAAAAGTATGACAAAAAGTACCTTAACTAACTGCCGAATGTTAGATAACAAATCATAATGTTCTGCAGCTCAGTATAGAGAACATGACAATGCATATTGAATTAGGTAAATTGGAAAAAAGAGCAAAAACTATTTCTTGATAACTATTAAACAAAAAGTATGATGGAAAATACCTTAACTAACTGCCGAATGTTAGATAACAAATCATAATGTTCCGGAGCTCTGTATAGAGAACCTGACAATGCATATTGAATTAGGTAAATTGGAAAAAAGAGATAAAAAAGGTAAAATCATCTATTGAATGTATGTGATAAATGAGGTGGAAATAAAAAGCCACCTTAAAAGGCAATAATACATATTAGTGTATAACACAAATATTTGTTAGAGACATTCAACAAAATAAAGATCAGTTAAAAAAAGGATTAAACTTGGTTGTCCAGACTCCTCGAGCCCATGGTCAAAAGCGAGAAATTCAGGAGAGAACTCTTGCAAAAACATTTCTTTGGAGGAAAATCACGTAGACCGGGCAACCAAACTATGGAAAATAAAGGCCTAAACAAAAGAAGAAGAGAAATACACCCACTTTATCACCTCATGTGCACTGATGTCGGAGGTGGAAAAAAGGAAGCCTACCATAACCTCCGTGCAGAAGAATTAGTAAGCGTTACTGGCCAAATGATGATACAGAGAATACTATAAAATAGAGGAAAGTACCTTGAGAAATTTTAGAGGCTTTATCACATAACAATCTCCACTTTTCTTTTTTCAAAACTACAATAGAAGAAGAGATAACATAAGCATATATAGCTCTCCTTTTTTATTAGCAAGTGAAGAACATGAGAAGAGGAAGAGGAAATTCATAGATAGAGGAACAAAGCCTTTCGGTTAAAAGTCAAGAAAGTGGGTTAGAGTGGACAATTTTTTTCCCCAATTTTAGCTACTATATAACAAATTAATGGTTTTAGCATTCTATCAAACATTTGATAAATAAAATATGATTGTATCATTACAGTACTTTAGAACAAAAAGGGGGAAAAATAAGAAGAAAAAAAAAAGCAACCCTACGTACGAAAAAACACAAAAGGGACAGACCCATGAAATACACAAATGAGTCCCAACATCTAGTGAGGATTTATAAATTTTCAATATAAAAGGCTCAAGAAAACATGTCAGAAAACTAAACTTTCCAAGACACAACTAAGAGGATAAACACTTCATGATAACCAAAATTGAAACTTAATCTAAAAGGTCATAAAAACAAATAAATAAATGAAAAAAAATCCAAAGCAATCTCTTTTGTAGAGAAAAAAAATAAAGAAAAGCAGAGTATAAACTGTAATCACATATAAGCGAATAGAAGAAGGCTGGCTCAAAATATTCACCAATATTATGCAAAACAGGCTGGGAATAATGTTGATCCATACTACCACATTATTACTTTTTTGAGAGAAGCAAAGAAAATTCCAAATTTTGGACCTGCAACATCACAAAAATATACAAACTATAATCAAACATGGGCAAAAAACTTTTTAAATCCACCAGAAAGAACTTACTCAAATTTGTTAAATGCATAAAAGATGGAAATAAGGCAAAAGTAAGGGGAGGATACAGCAAAAATAAGTCTTTTTTTAGAAAATAACCCTATAGAACTTACCTTTAAAAAAGAGGAAAAAACTTAGAAAAAAGCATGAGAATGGCGGAGGTAATCTGCAAATTTCGTAACTACGCATCAAAACATCACAAAAAGGGCAAAAAGGAAATTAAAAATGAAAGGGAAAAAAACACAAAAAGCTAGAGAAGCTTTGGAAAAAGAAAGAAAAAGAGATTTTGAACTGAAGCAAAAAAACCCAACCAGATCTTTGGTTTTGTTGTTGTCGATAAGAGAAAACGAAGGATAAGAGAGGAAAAAACTTACAAAATAGCATGACGACGATGGAGAAAGTCTCCAAATTTCATACCTGCAACATCGCAATATCACAAAAGAAAAAAAATTAGACATCTAAACCCGCAAAAAAGGGGAAAAGAAAAAGATTAGAGAAGCTCTGGAAAGAGGGAGGAAGAGATTTTGAAGTAAAAAATACCCACCATATCTTTGGTTTTTGCTATTGTCGATCGGAAAAATGAAGGATAAGAGAGGGAAAATGGCATCCTTAGTGATAGAGAACAGGAACAACAAGAGATGAAGAGGGCTTTCTGGGCGAGAGAGACGGACATTGAAAGAAGGAGAGGAGGAAAGGTATTCTTCTGAGTTCTGATGTCTCTCTTTCTCGAGCCCAGCGCCTCACCAAATCCGAAAGCAACAAATTAATGGTAGAAGATAAATGAGTCACGTGCACACCAAGAGAGAATCTTGGCAAATCTTTTGCCTCTCTGTCTATTTAGTTGATGTTATAATAATAAAAAAAAAACTAAATCACCACCAGAGAATAATCGTTATTCTCCAGCGAATAGCGATTGGCCACATCAGCGGTTCAACCACTCCAAGCAAACAAAGAAACAAAACAATCGGCAGACGTCCAATTCACACGAGGGAATTCACACGGATGGACGACCATCAATTGGCCAATGGCAACGCGCCATGTCAGCAATTGGAACTCAATTGGAAACAACGGCATTCGCGCATAGACTAGATATGTTAATAAGTGTCCCATTAGATAATGACCAAGAATCTACAGTTTTAGAGAATACTCGTTCAGTATTTAGTATTTACCTGTTAAGTCATCGACAACATAATAGAATGACTCGATAAGGATAGCAGCGGGGGTGGCTACCCATAGGGGGAAAAAAGAGGCGGGCGAATATCTGGGGTGGGGGTATTTTCTCTTCCCGTCTAAGATTAAACATAAATATCCAAACCTTTAATTAAAATAACTTTTAACTAAATGGTCCTATCCTCACTCTCCTAAAACAAGAGAACATTGTTTTTATTAATTTAACTTTGACAAATAGGTCGATGGTGAAGTAAGCCTCCCCATCTTGGAAACAAGAAAAAAATGGTAAATATTTTATCATGTATTTATTCATTTTTCAACAAAAATTTTATTTGTTGTAGAATAAAAAAAATATTACGATTTTTAGAGAAATTCAGTAACTAGATAAAATATGGAAGAAAAAATTGTTTTCATGACCCTACAAATCTTATCAATTCTATTCTACTTAATTCTTCTCTCATAGCATAGCCACATATCTCTTCAAGCTAACAAATGGAAAACCTTTCTCTCCATACATGAATTCACTTTTCAAAATACCTAAAAAAAGATATCTTTTCCTCAACAATATTTGCTCTGTTTGGATTGGTCATTTTTTCAAAAACAAATTTTTCAAATACAATGTTACAGTAATACACAATAATTCAAAAAATATCTCATCCATACAATATATCAAAAATTTCAAAAAATTTTTATGTAAAAATTTTTCATATACACTGCTACAGTAAGTTTTTTTAATAACACCCCAAAAAACAGCTAATCCAAAAGGAGCTAATGTCTTTGCCATTTCTTGACTAGGAAATTTTTTTTTATATAAATAGAGTCCTGTTCTACATGTCAATTAAGATGACAAAAAAAGAATCAACTGTTCAACTATTCAAATTTGTATCATAAGTTGATAGGCTATATATACACATATACATATACATATACATATACATATACATATACAAATACATACATATATATATATATATGCATACATATATCTATGTATGTATATATGTATGAATGAATCTATATATGTTTGTTTTATATAGACACACATACATCATGTATATTGAATTGGGGATACATAAATGATAAAATCATAGTGGATTGGAGAAAATAGGTGTCTCCTATAGAAGATGGACAAGAAATAAAGGTAAAGCACTTTTTCAAGATTGGAATTGGTGTCTAATGCATTCGACCACCACATGCATGCATGCATACATACATACATATATAAATGATATATATATATATATATATATATGTATGTATGTATGTATATATACATATATATCATAAAACGTCAATTCTTTATATGATAGATTGCTAACTTCATTATTTTAATTTTCTGCGAAGTGGACATTCTATCTACATGCCACATGAGTTTTTTAGTTTATTTTTTTTTTGTGTGGTACTAATTGATTACAATCATTTTTTCACATTCTTATTTATGGTAAATTGTAACCTATCTATGAATAACTTGCATTTTATACGTTCATATTATTTATGTGATTGATTTTTTTTTTTTAAAAAAATCAACTCTTCCCTTTCATTTTTTTAATTAATTTCAATCATGTTCTGACCTCCTGTAATTGGTTTGATCATTTATTACCATTGTTCCTTTTATCTAATAACAATTAATTAGAACCCTTTTTGGTCTTTCTCATTTATGGTAAATTTCTATCAATCTATTAATAACCTGTCTTACACACGTTTGAATAAATTATGATATTATTTCTTACTTATTTTTTACCTCAATCAATTCATCACTTTCCTATTCAAATTATCGTCAAAACAAAACTATATGATTAGTCTAAATTCTCATAAAAAGATTTGCACCAAAAGGTAGATTACATATAAAATCCTTATTTTTCACTTTTGCTGGTATATAATGATGTTGGGAAAGTAATGCAAATTGAGCTGCAGTTAAATGTGGACAAGGATTTAAAAAAAAAAAGAAAGCAAAACAATGTTTTGAATAGTAGAATATAGAAACCAATCCATATCTATTTGATTTGTAAGTATAATTTAATTCTATTAGTATCTTGGATTAAGTAGTAATTGATATCATTTTTCTATTATGAAAATGTCAAAAAGATTTAGAGTCAAGAAGGTCAATGTCCATATGCATGTGGGATGCTCTCTATTATACTTATACCTTGTTTGATAAACAAAAATTTAACATCTAAATTAATTAAGTGGCAATGAATTTTTTAGGCAAAACTTGCTCTCAAAATTAAGTGATAAGCTATTTACTTATCACTAAATGTGATATGTACTCAGATGTATTAGATTTAATGCTTAACAATTCAATAATTTAATGGACTCAGACTTCAAATTTCAGATTTCAAACTTTAGTTTCCAGACTTCAATTTTATCAAATGCACACTCAGTCACACAATGCTTTATGCATTTGATCAGTCATGGTTAATTTTGGATGAGATTCAATTAGATTTAAGTTCTAAGAAAAAAAAACAAAAATAGACTAATATTTTTGCTAGGTTTTTGCTTTCATGGCTGTCGTTGAGCAATCCGCTGGAGGGCATCCTAAATTTTCTACCAAATTCTTTTCTCAGCTATTTTCTGATTCTTCTCCCTCTCCTATCTCTTTGAAAACTCCTTCTTTACATAGGGGAAAATTGGCGGTTTGCTTCACCCACGAGGATGTCTCAAATTTGGCCGCTTCTTTCAAGTTGGCTTTGATTGGTAAATTCTCCCATAGATGTTTGAAGATTGATGAAGTTTGTAAATTTTTCGTCTCCGTGGATCTCCAGAATGTGGTACATGTTGGTTATCTTGATTCACACCATGTTCTATTGTGCTTTGTTTTTGAAGTTGATTTCCATCGCATATGGACTAGGGGTTTTTGGCACCTTGACAAATACCCCATGCATGTCTTTTGATGGACTCCAAGGGAATCTTTGTTGGTCCCGATTTGGGTCTTCTTGCCTAATTTCCCTATTCATTTCTTCATTAAACAGAGCTTGTTCTCTATTGTTTCCTATAGGAACTACTCTTTTCGTTGATGCAGCAACGACATCACTCACGTGCCCTAGTATTGCTAGGGTTTACGTGAAAGTGGATGTGTCAAAACCCATTTGTTCGCAGTTTTGGATTGGTGTTGAAGATAGTGGTTTTTGGCAGATTATCAAGCCTAAGAATCCCCCAAAATATTGTAATAGGTGTTGGCAGTTGGGACATGGTGAGGCAAATCGTTGTTCGGGGCAAGAAAGTTTATTCAGTCAACGACCAAGGAAACAAGTGCTATCCGAGGATCAAGTTGCTCAGTAGATTCAAAACCCCCCTTCTGGTTCAAAAGCCATAGAAGAAAACCTACTTTGCTCTCTTCCAAGGCCTAGGGTTGTTTCAGTCTCAAATATTGATTATCAACAAAATATTCAGGGAGTATCTCTTCCACTAGTGATAGATTCGGTTGTGGTTTCCTCAGAGGTTCTCACATTGATATAGAGCCCAGGGATGGTTTGTGTGATAGCCCCACTTTCCCCAAAGGTGAACCAGAGGGGGTCAGTAGACCGCCTGCCCAACTCTTGTCAAGACTCACTACAATCCATAGCAAGAATTACTTGAAATTTCTAAACTAACCAAAATAATATTCATTACACCCCAAAATAACATTTACATACATCCAAAAGCTATTACATAGGTTTGCGTACAAAAGATTCATCATTCGGCATCTATCTTAATTACAACCCAAAAATATATACACTACAATCATTTCTACTAAAATAAAAACTTAAAGTCTCTCAAAACATTCCAATAGTATTCTTGAACACTCTAGGATCCGAATCTTGTTAAGGAAAACAAAACGTGGAATGAGCTTAAGCCTAGTGAGCATTCCAGGTAAACAGGCAAAATAAGAGAATAACACAATTAATTTAACATGTAAGCACATTTTCCCAAGTAATATAGGTTCAGGTAAATCGATACTGAACTTTAGAAATTGGCAGTGCAGCAATTAATTGTAATAGGAATCTTTCAATGTAAAGTAATTGATAAACATTAACATTTATGCATGCATTCAATCATTCGTTCAAATAAATACAAGGATGAACAATAATTTAAATATTAAAAGGATACGGAGCTCACAGGGAGTAACTTTCACCTTATAACTGCCAATAAACAATCCCCTACATTTTACCACCTTATAACCTCCGAACTCCCACCTTATATCCTCCGAAAGATCAACAATCCCCTCATTTAACATTCACCTTATGCCCTCTGATAAATCAACAATCCCCTCATTTAATATTAAACATTCAACATTGTATTCAAGGCCTTTCGACAACGAGTTTTGAGCTTTGCACTTAACATTGGTAAGTTATAAACCCAAAGCTGTCCAGCTGATCCGACCTCGCAAATGGCGAGTCTCGGATAGGGTGCCAGCATAGGGTTAAACTCAGTTCAGCCGATGTGATAAAGTACACATCGGCCTATATTCTTGCACATTTATCACACATTCATGCAATGTGAACATGCGCTCATAGCAAATTAACAAGACAAGAAAATCACAAAAGTCATTCACTTATTCTCATGTCATTCAA